GTCATGCTTATTCTGTCAGTCTGCCATTATAAAACAGAATGAGTTCCCTACATTTGAATATATCTCATACCAACTAATTTGTTCAGTTTGATTACTATTTTCATTTTATCCTCAAGCATAATATCTGGCCCCATACACTATTATCATTTCTATCACTCCTTCAGAGTTTAAAAGAAACTGAAATACAGCCTGCTTGTTTTACTTGTAAGTAAACCATGGTCTAAGCCAAAAAGAGGTTAAAGAAAGTATTTGGAAATTTAGAATCTTAGTTTAGCACTATTTTTTTGTACAACAATGGCTGAAAAATTGGCTCCTCAGTCTCATTACAAGTCAACAAGAATTCTAGGAACTCTTACTTAACCAAGGAGCAGAAACTGGTGCAAATTAAAACTTCCTGTTTAGCAGTAGAGATGCTGAACACATTGATAGTTATAAAAAGAACAAAGACAAAAATGATGTAAAGTAATATTTTAATACTTTGATTCCTTTATTTATTCAAGAGGCAGAGAAAAAGTTAGACAGAAATAGATCTTCCTTTTGCTTGTTCACCTCCCAAAAGCCTTTAACAGTCATGGCTGAAACAAGGAGCCAAAAACTCAAACTGGGTCTCCCATGTAGCTGTCAGAGACGGTTACTTGAGCCATCACCTGCTGTCTCCCAGGGTGTGTACTGGTAGGAAGCTGGAATGGAGAGTACAGCCAGGACTCAAATCCCGGCACCCCAATATGGAATGCAGGTATCCCAAGAAGTGGCTTAACGCATACACCAAAATACCCAGACTAAACCAAAGTTTTAAAGTTAAGTGCTTGGGTATGATAGCATAAAGACTTCTCCTTGTTCATCTTCAGAATGGAACTGTAGAATTCTACAATAATATGTTATTTTTTTCTACAGTGTTTTAGAGAAGAATATTTCATTCACATTGATAGCAATTTTTAAAGAGAACCAGTTTGAAAATTATTCAGAAAATTAAAATAACAACTTTCCAAAAATATAATTTAATTGATAAAATTTTCTGAAATTTTCTCAAACTGCATTAATTTAAAATACCTAAACCACAAGAAAAGTAAATGAAATGATGTAATTCTATTAACTTCACCTGGCAGCACAGCTGGGACTTCTATAATAAAGCTATGCTAATGTCCTGCTTGCTCATCTACCTGGAGGATGAGTAGTGATCAGATAAAGGAGAAATAATATCAATTACAAGTTTACCATAAGCCAAGCATTTGATGCATATTAACTCATTTGTTACTCCCCCCATATCATTATTTGTCTGAAAAAAAAAGGAAATAATTTGCCAAAATTCAAAGGAAATTGACTGCTAGATTGGCAATTTGAAACTGTGTTTGTCTGGCTTCCAGACTATGTTCTTTCAGCTATAGCATATGCTCTGCACTCTAAATTAAATGAGTGCAATTATTGGCAGCTATATATACGAGTAATAAATGTAAGTTTACAATATCACACTATAAGTTGTGTGCATGTGTGTATATGCACATATATAGGCAGACTGTTCTCTCTGTTGATAACACTGACTTTTCCCCCTTAGTCCCTGAACTGTCATTAGGGATTATAACTTTACATGTAGCAAGAAAGAGCTGTAGAAGCTTGATCCTTTATTGGACACTGATTTATAAGACATGTTTCCAAAAAGTCAGCTTTACTTAGACTGTGACAAAATATGGTGATAAAAGACAACCAGAGAATAAGGTTGTATTCACTGAAGGTGGAAGTTTGCCAGAAGCTGAGAAGAGTTAAGGACAAGAGGACAAGACAACATCCTGAATTATTTTTTCTAATATGATGAACATATCTGCATTCAGTTTTCAGAACAAAGATAAAATTTAAATTGAAAAGTAAGTGATAATTTAATATTCCACACCTCTTCTTCATTCTGGTAGTATATATAACCATAGTTGACCATAAGCAAGGAAACACATTCAAAACACCAGTAACAATTTTTATATTTTATGTTTTTATATAAATATAGAATATATTTTATCTTTAAAATTATTTTATATATAAATATAGAATATTTATTTATATATAAAAATTATTTTATATATAAATATAGAATATTTATTTATATATAAAAATTTTAAAGATAAAATATATTCTATATTTATATATAAACTTAGAAAAACGACCTAAAATATATTTAAATGCAATTATGATTCAATAAGATAATTATGATTGCCTTTACATATTCCTAAAATGTGTCATTTTATGTGGATTTGTAAGAGCTTACAAATAATAGAATATATATACCTCCAATTTTATCTATAGTCAGGTCAAAATGCAATAAAATTTATGTTGTATAATGCCTAGATATTTCAAGGAATGATATACTGCAGATAGATAAAACCAAATAGCATTCAAAAGTTAATCCAATATTAAAGGACCACCATTTCCTGCAGAGTGAAAACATAGAATATTGGCAAAAAAGGCAAAGTAAATAAAATGACCACTAAATCTACAGATAATATTGTTAAGACAATATGATACGCTTTAATGATTAGTTGTACAAGTATGGTTTCTTGGCCATGGAAGAAAGGGGAGAAAAGAAGGTCAATAACCATAATCATGCATGCTCTATAAGCTAATGTGTTAGAAGTAGGAAAAAATCTTAAACTTAATGGGAACCACAATTGCAGCAGGTATCTAGCTAGTCCTACAATACTAACCAACTCTAGCATTACTAGTGAGAACTAAACTCCAGCCCAACAGGCTATGGCTCTCATAGCACTAAACCATTCCATTTCAAATTGCATTTTAGTTTTATGCCCCATTAATTGAACATTTATATTAATTTTTAACGTTATTAAATTCATTGTAGAGTCATGTGCACAGCCTTGCTGGCACTGCAGCAGTTCTTTTTTCTACAATGAATTATTACTTCATAAAATGGAAATGTTTCCTAATTAGGATTCAATTGCGAGATACCAGAGGGTAATGGTTAGGCCAAAAAGAGCCTTCACAATATTAAAAAAAGGTGATAACACTTTAAATGTGGAAATAAAAAAATAAACTCAATAAAGAAGAATCTTCAAATAGGACATTTTCAAAAGGATTGGATAAAGTTTTAGATTCTGCTTATATTGTGAAGGTATACCCTAAAATGCAGAAAATGTCCTCATCATGTTAATACAAAATCATTTTAGGTAGGGAACATGTATATCAATTTATTGCAAGTGTTTAACATGCATAATAGCAATGGATCAATTTCTCTATTTTTCATTTGGGAAAACATAAGGTGAGATATTTGGGTCTATGTCACTGACTCATGTTTCCACTTTAGTTATGATCTCTAATGAATGCATTTCTAATGTTAAATTATTTTTAATTGCTTTTGGCACCTAAACAGATTTGGCTGACACACTATTATTGACAATGAAGCCACTTAATTTTTGTTTGTTTTGCTTTCATGTTTTGACGGTTTGTTTTTCATTTAATATAATTGAACTTATATATTCCTACCTTACAAAGTCTTATCAATTCACATAGTTATTTCATGAAAATATGTTACCATAAGAGTACATAGTTAGTGACATTAGTAGGTCAATATACAGTTTTATTCCTATCATTGTCCAGAACAACAACCCTGGCTTAGGAGACAGACAAAAGTAGTATGTTCAGTACTATTAGTCTGCATAAAAATCTCAAGAAGCTAAGTCATTATCATTAGTCATAAGAATGTCTCCTGGAATGTTTAAGTCAAAAGAAAGTTTATGTGGCAGAATTATGTAAAGAAATTTACAATAGTGCCTGCCCACAAACCATGCAATTTGGAAACAGCCAAGAAACAAAACCATAGAGAAGGAGGGATAAATACAACATGTATTAGGGGTTATTATGCAACTACAAAGATTCAATATGACCCTGGCAATATAGCAAAAAATAGTTATGGAAAAGAAGCTATTTCTTATGCTCAGTAGCTAATTTTCAAACATATGTACCTGTATTTGAAACTTTGAGCATTTCACACATTTTTCTGTATCTGAAAAAAAAATGGATCCAGACTGATATTGTGTATCAATATAGCTGAAAACAATATAAAGGTAGCCAAAAGCAAAATTCAGTAAGAATTCTAAAATAGGATATTATTCTGATTGCTGATAAAGTATTTCTGATGTACATTTTGTTCATATTGGAAAAGAATATTTTACTGTTTAGTTTTCCTAGAAAATATGAAATATCTATAATAATATGATTTCAAAGCTTTTAATGAAATATAAAGCTAGATTAAAGTAGCTATGTCAAGTCATAGGTATAATTTGAAACTAAGAAATAATATATAATTCCATTTTGACAATATATATATTTAAATATCTAACAGTTAATTAAATTTGCTTTTTAACATAATTTACAACAAAAGTATTATATATTTCCATTTTTAAATGTTCAAGGGCATTAGAGCTTGAAAATAACATGTATTTTTAATATAATCTATTCTGGAAAATAAGAATTACATATCCCACAGGATTAATGTATTCAAAACAAAGTTATATAAGAAAAATACATAAAATTTTCTTATATACATTACTACAAGTATGAAATACAAAATACCTAAGTATATGAATATGACTTGAAGTGTAAGGAATGTTGAGACAATTGTACTACCACAATAGTGGTAGAAAAAATTTCATATCTTCCATTCCATAATTCATACATTATGATACACTGAATACATAATTCAAATACATCAGCCCATTTTGGGGCACCTGAATGAGACTACCACATTTTATAAGCATTTAAATAAAATAAAATAAAATGAGAATTTCAGAGACAAGTTTAACTAATATGCAATAGACTAGAGAACATACAACAAAAATCAAGTCAGAAATAATGATAGTTTAAATATTGGGTGTGACCAAAATATGGTCAAATTTATGTTTAAGATAGACTATTTTTAATAATAACTCAACCCATTTTAACAGGCATACATAATACCAAAGTTCAACATGCATGCTTTTTTCTTTTCTTTTTATAAAACTTACTGCTTTGTAAGTTCTCTTCTGTCCAGCATGCTTCCGAATTTGTTCTCCATTTGGCCCAGTTTCCACATGCATCGAATAGATAATGTCAAAGAAATCTTCAACCACAGCTACCCTCCGTAAAGACAGCTTCTCATCTACCCCCACGCCATCCTGGAAGAAAAATAAATAGAACAAAAAATAAAATAAGCCCAAAAGTTTAATAAAGTATTTTACATTTAACAACACAACAGGCAGTTTTGATATCTGAACCAGGTCAGCTAGTAGGAAGTTTCGAAATTATACCATTTTAAACATTACTTACATACAGAACTTTAAGAAACATAAGAAGACATTTTCCATAGTTAATATTAAGTAATTCATGCTTACCCATGAATTCTATCCTATAAATAGAAAACTTGAAGGACTCCACCAAAGACTCCATTAACACTAATAAATGAATTCATCAAAGTTGAAACTACAAAGTCAACATATAAAAATTAGTAGTGCTGGGGCCATCTTTGTGGCATAGCAGGGAAAGCTGGCACCTCCAATGCCAACATCCCATATTGGCACCAGTTCCTGTCCTGGCTGCTCTACTTCCAATCTAGCTCCCTGCTAATAGCCAGGAAAAGCATCAGAGAATGACCCAAATGTCTGGGCTCCTGCCACCCATGTGGCAGACCCAGATGAAACACCTGGCTCCTGGCTCCTGGCTTTGGCCTGGTCCAGCACTGGCTGTTGCAGCCATCTTGGAAGTGAATCAGCAAATAGAAAAAATTCTCTCTCTCTCTCTATTTTCCTTCTCTGTAACTCTGACTTTTAAATAAAAAAATAAATCTTCAGAAAAATTAGTAGTGTTGTTATGTGCCAATAGCAAAGTAACCGGAAAAAAATAATAAAGAGGTGTGCCGTGGTGCAGTAGGTTAAAGTCCTGGCCTGAAGCACTGGCATTCCATATGGGTGCTGGTTCTAGTCTGGGCTGCTCCTCTTCCAATCCAGCTCTCTGCTATGGTCTGGGAAAGCAATGGATGGCCCAAATGCTTGGACCCCTGCACCCATATGGGAGACCTGGAAGAAGCTCCTGGCTCCTGGCTTTGGACTGGCGTAGCTCCAGCTGTTGCAGCCATCTGGGGAGTGAATCAGCGGATGGAAGACCTCTCTCTCTGTCTCTACCTCTCTCTGTAACTCTTTCAAATAAATAAAAATAAATCTTTAAAAAAATAAAATAAAATAAAAAAATCAAGTGCATTTCCAATAGCTACTAAAAAAAATCTAGGAATAAATTTAACCAAAGAGATGTAATAATAACTATAAAACATTCATGAAGGAAACTAAAGTGAACACAAAGAAATAGCAAAGTGTTCCAGGTAAATTGAATGTAAGAATCAATAGTATTAAAAATCCCATACTACCCAAATGATTTACAAATCCAATATAATCTCTTCCAAAACACCAATGACATTTCTTCACAAAACTACTAAAAATACTACAAAATTTGTATGGTGTCACAGAAGCTCTGAATAGTCAAAGCAATCTTGAATAAAAAGAGTAAAGCAGGAGGCATTACGTTGTCTGACTTTAATATGTAGTTCAAAACTACAATAAAACTAGAAGCATGGTGTTGGCTTAAAAACAGATACTAAGACACATAGAGCAGTAGAACAGAATTAGGGACCCTCAAAGTAAACTCATGCATCTATAGCTAACTGATTTTTAAGGTGTTAAGAACATGCATTGGAAAATCAAAGTCTTTTCAATCAGTGGTGCTGGGGAAACCAGATATCCACTTACAGAACAATGAAACTAGATATCCTCTCACCTCTCACCATATACAAATATCAAGTCAACATGAATTAAAGACCCAAAACTTTGAATCTGCAAGAAGAAAACAGGGGAGGGCATTGGAATTAGCTAGGCTTTTTTGGATCTGATCTGCAAAGCACAGTGAATAGAAACAAACAAACAAACAAAGACAAGTAGGATTTCATGAAACTTAAGAGCTCCTGCTTAGCAAAGGAAACCATCAGCACAGTGAAAGAACAAACTACAAAAGGGTAGAACATATTTCTAAGGTATACTTCTTACAAGGGATTATTAATAAGAATATATAAGAAAGGCAAAATGCAATTGCAAAAAAAATTAAAAGCCAAATAATCCATGTTTTAGTGAGTAGTAAATTTAAAAAGACATTTCTTGAAGGAAGACATACGAATGGCCTGCAAGGTCATGAAAAATTCCCAATATCAGGGAAACATAAACCAAGCCATAATAACACCTCTCTCCAGTAAGACTGGCTATTATCAAAAAGACAAATGGTAACAAATGAGTAATAGCATTGCAGACAAGGGATGTATTCTAGCACAGTCACTGTGGATGACACTACAGAGGTACCTTAGAAAGCTAAAAATAGAACTACCATATGATCCATTAGTTGTATTATTGAGTACATATCCACAGGAAATTAAATTATTCTGTCCTAGAGACATTTGTACCACCCAGTTTATTGCAATTATTAACAATAGTCAATAAATAGAAACAATCTTAGTGTCCACCATTTGATGAATGGATAAGGTATAAATGGAACATTATTCAGCCATAAAAATCATGAAATCTTGTCATTTTCAACACCATGGATAGAATGGGAGTTCATTATGCTAGAAGAAATATGCTGAGAGCAGAAATACAAGCACCTCATGCTCTCATTTTTTCAAGGAATATAAAAATATCGATCTTACAGAAGTTAAAACTATAATGGTGGATACAGAGCTTAGATAGGAGAAGGAGGTGGGGATAATACAGAAATGCTAATTATCATATACTAAGCTATAGTTAGAAAGGAGTAAGAACTTCTAGTGTTCTATTGTACAGAAGGAAACTGTACATAATAGTAATATACCACATATTTCTTTTAAAAAGAACTACAAAAATGAATTTGAATGTTTCCACCATACAGAACTATGAGATAGATATGTTTACCCTGATTGGACATCATTCAGGGCATCCATTTACAGAGACATCAGATGGTATCTCATACAGATTTGCCATTGTTTATGTATTTGTTAAATTTTTTTTTAAAGTTGAGGTACTCCATCACAAATTATCTATTGTGCATTTTGTTCCTCCTTAAGCTTCAGGTATTTCTCACATCTTTCCTTTCACATCTTTTTTTTTTTTTTTTTTTTTTTTTTATTTTTGACAGGCAGAGTGGACAGTGAGAGAGAGAGACAGAGAGAGAAAGGTCTTCCTTTTGCCGTTGGTTCACCCTCCAATGGCCGCCGCTGCAGCCGGCGCACCGTGCTGATCCAATGGCAGGAGCCAGGATCCAGGTGCTTTTCCTGGTCTCCCATGGGGTGCAGGGCCCAAGCACCTGGGCCATCCTCCACTGCACTCCCTGGCCATAGCAGAGAGCTGGCCTGGAAGAGGGGCAACCGGGACAGAATCCGGCGCCCCGACCGGGACTAGAACCCGGTGTGCCGGCGCCGCAAGGTGGAGGATTAACCTATTGAGCCACGGCGCCGGCCCCTTTCACATCTTAATCCTCTCTTCTATAAAGGGGACCCATGGGTAATACTTCCTTGCCTGTGACACAATTCCTTTATGTAGTTAGTATACAAAGAAGCTGTGTGAAACACAAGGCCATCCTGGAAAACTATTGCAACTTAGAAGACAGTAACTCAAAAAGAATGGTTTCAGGAACCTCTTCCTGGTCTAATCCTTTATCATCTGTGATAAAATCAACCTTTCTGAGGTTGCAAACCCAAAGTCAAACACTATCCACCAGGAAAACCATGCATAAAACCTTATCTTTGTTGGCCCACTCATAAAATTTGTACAGTATCCTTTCAGTCTTTCTGTTAAACAGCAAGAACTACAGTATGCATGGGTGCTTGGTGTAGACTTTAAGCCATGGCTCACCACTTGGGATGCCCACATGTTCTATTAGAGTAAAAGCTACATTCTCGGCTGTTGCCGCGGCTCAATAGGCTAATCCTCTGCCTGTGGCGCTGGCACCCCAGGTTCTAGTCCCTGTTGGGGTGCTGGATTCTGTCCTGGTTGCTCCTCTTCCAGTCCAGCTCTCTGCTGTGGCCTGGGAATGCAGTGGAGGATGGCCCAAGTACTTGGGCCCTGCACCCGCATGGGAGACCAAGAGAAGCACCTGGCTCCTGGCTTCGGATCGGAGCAGCGCCGTAGCCCCAGCGGCCATTTGGGGGGTGACCCAGTGGAAAAGGAAGACCTTTCTCTCTCTCTCTCTCTCACTGTCCACTCTGCCTGTCAAAAAAAAAAAAAAAAAAAAAAAGCTACATTCTCCATTCCAGCTTCCTGTTAATGTGCACCCTGAGAGGCAACCAGTGATGGCTCAATTAGGTGTATTCTTGTTACCTCTATGGAAAACCTGGATTTAGTTCCCAGTTCTTGGCCTTGGTCTGGCTCAGCTCTGGATGTTACAAGCATATGGGAGTGAAACAGCAGATAGGAGGTGTGTGTGTGTGTGTGTGTGTGTGTGTCTTTGTCTTCCAAATATATAACACAAATATATATTTTAAAAATTAAAAAATAAAGGCAGGTATTTTATAGTAGGTATAAACACAAAACTTTGAGTGATGTGGGCATCACAGCCTATTTATTCATTTCATCAACAAGTATCCAATAAGGTACAAATATATTGCCAATGATCTGTTCATTTACAGAGTTATGAAGATGTATAAGACACAAATAGTTTTTTTAAAATGGAACTTACAGTCTAGTACAGAAAATATCTGTTGAACAAATAATTGTTAAGGTAACATGTTAAGTGACTTTGTCTTCCATAACAAATTACCACAAAATGAATGGCCTAAAATGAGAAATGCATTCTCTCATACTCCTGGATGCCAGAAGTATAAAACCAAGATGTTGGCATAGCTGTACTCCCACCAGAAGCTCTAAAAGAGAATCTATTCTTCACTTCTAGTTTATAGAAGTTTTTCCAGCATCCCATGGCTTCAGGCTGTATCACGTGGCCTTTTCCTCTTGATGTATTTCTCATATATGGACTTGTATGCAATATAAGTAAACAAAAATTTGTGATAAGAGACAAAAGAGTAATTAGGAGATTCTAAAAAATGAAGATACATATTCAATGAATGTGGAGCTTAACAAATTCCAAACAGCATAAAAGCAAAGGAACTCAT